TTTAAATCCATGATTTTTTTTTATTCTTTTTTTAAATATATCAATATGCTTCATCCACTCTACCTAATAGAACTCAAGTTGATGGAGAAATATTAGATAGGGTTTACACAGAAGAAATTGAAAAATGTAATGTATTGAATGGGAAAATTTTAGCCATGTCTTTAGATGGCTGGAGTAATGTACATAATGAAACTATAGTTTGTATCTCTGTAATTACAGATAAAATTAACATTTTAGTAAAAACAATAAACACTTCTGGTCATTCACGTACAGGTGAATATCTTACACAATTAGCAAGAGAAGCAATAGATTTTGTAAGACGTAAATTTGGATGCACAGTAAAAAGCTTTGTGACTGACAATGCAGCTAATATAAAATCAATGAGACAAGTCTTGTCATCTGAAAGAGAGATTATAATAAGTTATGGGTGTGCTGCTCATATGCTGAATCTTTTAGCAAATGATCTTAGCATTAAAAATGTGAGCAAGCATGTTACACAAATAATAAAATATATAAGAAATAATCATCAAACTGAGGCAATTTAAAAATTAAGCAGAGGAACAAAATTGCTACTTCCTACTGAAACTCGGTGGAATTTTGTATGAGATTCACTTGAAAAATATGTCAACAACTGGAGCATTATTTTCACAATGTTTGAAAAAAATAAAGATTTGGATCCCATGATTGGTAAAAAAGTAAGTGATATACAGATAAAGCGAAACACAGAAGATTTATTGAAAATATTGAAACCAATTGCAGTAGCTCTAGATAAGTTGCAAAGTAATCAAACAAAAATAAGTGACACTTGAAATTTTTAAAGATTTGATGAACAATTTATCATTTTTATCAAACAAACAAACAAAAAATTGAATCTAGATACCTTCAGACTGTCACTCATGCTTATTTCCTGGCAAACACACTAAATATTTTTTCCTAAATATTTTGGATCTAATCCTAGATATAAAAGTATCCTAGATGTTTAGGATCTAATCTTTCTGAAAATGAAAATGAAGCTGCCATGAATTTCGCAGATAAAGAGTTCAAGATTTAGTTACCAATATTATTCAAATTAAAAGCCAAATCTACTATAACATAATGGATATTGAAGATTTATTAAATGCACTAGCTTCTAGTGCTGGAATCAAAAGAATTTTTCCAACTTTTGGTCTTGTTCATTCTAAGTTAAGAAACCAATTGTGGGTAGAAAAAGCAGCAAAGCTTGTATTTCGTATATAGAACATTAAACAATGATATATTGAGTAATTTTGATGAAATATAACAATAATATTGATTAAGAATATAGTTAACTCAAATAAAATACGTTATGCTTTTTTTAATTTAAAAAGATAACTAAATACCGCATTTTTTAGTAAAAACCTAAATTAAACCATGGTTTTTTTGGGTTTTTTAAAAAAACCCATGGTTTTTGTTTTTTTTTCAAAAAAAAAATGGTTTTTTTTGCAACCCTGTCGCCGAGCATGATCTTTTGTGCTCGTAATACTGAAACATATCATCAATGAGTGCGATTATGCTCGCTTGATGTCAAGCAAGCATAATCGTACTCATTGATGAGTCTTCTATAACAATATTCAGAGTTGGAAATTGGTTGCCATTGGGCCATTCATAAATTACGTACGCAAGTACGGGGAGGGGTCACTCAAAGGGTGGAAGATTTTATGTTTGAATTTTTTCATGTGAAGTCCAGGAAATCAGATGAAGAAGCTTTGGTTTTTCAGTTTGTCATTTATCTATCTACCGAAAAAAATGTTCATCTACCGAAAAAAAATATACTACTTTAATATTAAATAAAAACAATGAAATGATTGCCATTTACTAAAAGTTGACAACATAACATGACATAACATAATATGACAACATTGTTTCCTGGAGTTGAATTAACATGCTATATTGCCAACATTCTAAACAACAGAAATGTTTTTAGTTTAACTTATATAAATTAAATAAATTAAATAAATTATAGTTAAAAATAAAAATAAAATGATTATAGATATTTCTTTTATTTACAAAAGATATGTGGAAAATTAAAAACAATAAAGCAAATGAATCTTATGTTTTACAAAATCTTGTGGATTTTTGATTTTTCAAAATTCAATCAAGTTTTAGTTTTTTAATTTAAATTTTCTATTCTCATTGGAACGAAACGCTTTGAAAAGTTTAACATTTCATTCTATTAAGGAGGGGGGGGGGGAGAGCATGGCCATCAATACTAAGAGATATCAGGGTATGTCCCTCCCCCTCCACTTTTATTACCTATTTTTTTTCTTGTTTTTTTAAGAAATGTAGGAGATTTTAGGAGATTTGAAAATGTTTCAGCCCCAGCTATTCTTTCTAGATATAAAATTATTTCTCCTAGTGTCTTTCAAGGTATACAGTGTAATTCTGCAGCTCACTTGCAACTCAGTTTGCCAGCTTTAACTTTTGCAATGGCTTTTTCCATTAGCTCTTTGCTATAATTGGTGGCGGGTTTTCTCTTATAGTTTTGCGGCATTGTTGCTGATAATTGAATAATTTAATTAATTTGAATTGATTATAAGACCAACATGACCTGAGCAATTAATTACCAAAACAAGAGGAAGAGAAATAATATTAATTATCCAATAAAAGCGCAATAATCATTTTTATAATCATTTTTTATTTGAACTTATGCCGCATAATTTAAAATAAATTATACGTGATGTACATATTAGGAATATAATTTCTTTATTTAACAATATACAAACTCTACTGTTTAAACATTTTGACTTATGCAAAAAAGCTTACTAAAAATATTTTCTTTAAAATCAACTTATAATTTTTTCTGTTGCAATTTCTTTAGACAAGCGCAATTATTTACTCTCAAAACAAAACTATCAAGCACTATTTGTCACTCCCGGAAGATCATTTACAGGCGCTTCATCACAAGGCCTTCAATAAATCTTTTAATTATTTCAAACTACCTCTTTGGAAAAATATCTGGTTCAACTAAAAAAATACTAAATTTAATTCCTAAAAGATATGTCATTCGTTAATTGTTAAATTAGTTTTCACTTCACTTAAAATTTCAAAATTCTTTTCTTCCAAAGATCCTATTCCTCTAGAGTTCAATTTGTTTGTGGTCTACAAGTTTGTATGTTCAAAATGTAACTCCTGTTATACAGTCAAAACTACTTGCTATCTCAAGACACATAAGTTGAACATTTAAGAGAGACAAAAACTCTCATATCTATAAATATCTCCATTCTAATGAATATTGTTTCATTCAATTAACTGATAAGTTTTTTTCTGTTTTAGATTCAGAATCTAATAAGTTTGAGTTAAAACTTGAAGAAAGCATTTTCGTAGAATGGTTAAAACCTGATATGAACAAATATATTCAAATAATTTTAACATGTTCAAATAATACTCTCTTTTTAACTATTACTTTCTGTATAACTTTTTCATCTTTCATTACTTCCTATTTTTCTTTAGTATGACTTGTTAAAAATTTTTAATAAAATTTATTGAATTTTTATTATATTGTTAATAGTTTGTTTACAGATAATTAACAAATTTTCTCAGGGTTTATTATCACCTTCGTTAAAAGAAAAGCAAAAGTTAAAATATTTAATTTTAACTATACATGACTAGTGCAGGCTTTCACAGGAATACGTGCAATTTCATGTCTTTATATGACCACGAAAAAAAAAAAATGTTTTAACAATTTTACCACGGCATATTTTTAAAATTTAAAAACGCGCTACAAAAACTTACCTAAACTTATCTGAAAAAAAAAATTTAAAAAAATAATAAATATTAACAAAAGAGAAAATAAAAAAAAAATCATTAGTTAAAGCAAAAACACACAAAAATAAATATTTATATAACGCAACTAAAACAAAACTCATCAAACTAAAATGCTTAGTCTATTTAATTTACGCATTAAAAAACCTTTTCAATCTTAGTTTCAACAGTTTTATATATTTTTTATTTGTTTAATATGTTCAAAAGTTAAATATTTCTCATAAAAAGTACATAGTTATATAAATAAAATAAAAAAACATTTTATAAATACTTTTTTTTAAACTAATTAGAAGTGTTTTTTTTTTACTTCATTAAAGGCATTTCGATAATATAAAAGCATTTAAGATCAAACTTATAAAATTGTAACAGTTTTCTAAAACTTTTTTTTTCAACAAAATTTTGTTTATCTTTTTAAATGCATTCACAACTTGTTTCTCTGCGCAGCGGCCTTGTTCGTCAAGGTTCGTGTTTCGGAGTTATAGAGTTGAGAGAGGGTTATAGCCACAAAATAAGTAGCCTCCTCGTCTGTAGTGGCCTTCTCGGCCTTGAGGAAGTGAAGTATAATAAAAAAAAAAAAAAAAAAAAAAAACTTTAATCATTCTTATATTTAAATTTGTTAAAGAGACTTTCGTAGTCGTAGAATGTCATCGTTTATAAAAACAAAACAATTTTTTATTTTTTTAATAAGATTTATTTTAGAAATGAACACTTAAACAATTTATACGTTTTAAATTAAAAATATATATAACTGTCAATTATATTTAAAAAACAAAACTTTTTTTCAGTAAATTGTTACTTTATTTAAAATCGTTTCGCTAATATAAAAACATTTGTTAAGAAGTTTTGATGTAATTAATTTCACTTTTTTAGAATATTTTTTATTTAGCGCGTTTCTAAAATGTTTTTTGAGTTAGCCGCGGTCAAACCATCATCGCAAAATGTAACTTGCGTGGTCATATAAAGACGTGAAATCGCACGTCTTCCTGTGAAAGCCTGTAGTGGTAGTCAAGACATGTATTAATTTTAATAACAAAATGGTTTTAAATACTATATACTGTAGAAATATGAAATTTAAAAACTTTTAATAAAAGTTTTATAATTTCATATTTCTTCAGTATATAGTATTTATAATAAAAAAAATTTTATAGTATTTTATATTATATTTTACTTATTTTGAAAACTTTTATCAGATTTTTAGTTTTCTATAAAATTGTTACTAGTTCCGCAGCTTTAAAATTGTCTACCGAAGATATGCAGGATTGTATTTTTGCTTCTGCGTAGATGTTGGTGACAACAATCTTGTTTATTTAGAAGCCATTCATAATTTTGTTGAGGTTTAATTTTTTATCCTTTTTTATTATTTACTCATAATATTTTTTTTACATATATATATTTTTTTATATATAAATTGGTGCATGTATAATATGTATATGTATGTATATATATATATATATATATATATATATATATATATATATATATATATATATATATATATATATATATATATATATATATATATATATATATATATATATATATATATATATATATATATATATATATATATATATATCAGGGGCTGTTCTAGAAAAAAAATTTGGGTGGCAGTTTCCCTGTCCTGGAGAAATTTAGCAGAATATCGGCATTTTTTTCGCAAAAAAAGCAATATTTGCTGTAAAAAAATGTATAAAAAAAAAGGGTCTCAAATTTAAGTTTGGGCAGTGCCCAAATCGGCGCCCAAATACGGTCAACTTGTTAAAAATGGTCTAGAATAGCCCCTGAATATATATATCACGGCCTTCTATAAAAACAGGCCTTGACATCACGCAAAACGTTGTAAAAACTGAAGGCCAATTAAACTTTCACCTTTACTTATATTGATATGTTTTTATATTGGGTAGGGTGTAATGGCAGTCTGCGTAGGGTGTAATGGCAGTCTGTGTTTTCTAATAAAAATGTATATATCTATATATTATATAAAGATGACTGCATTTTTGTTTTTTTGTTTACAGAAACATATTTAAAAAAATAGTAATAATAAAAATCACCAAAAATAAAAAACACCAACAAAAATTGATTCATGCAAAAAAAAAGTTTTATCAATATATCTCAATAGAGTAAATATTTACAAATCCAAACATATTGAGAGACATAAAGGCTGAAGTGGAAATAAAAAACATAACAAGTAAATAATAAATTATTTACTTATAATACAAAACTAGTTTTCACATAAATTATGATAGCTTTAGTATTTTCGTTTTTGAACATTTGCTGCTGCTGGGAGTGGTAATTAGAGTGTAATTCTTTAGCAAAAAATTAGATTTTATTCTGCATTGTTTTTTTTGTAATTTTAAAATTATATTTATCTGCAATGAACTGAAACTGAGAAACTCAAAATGTTCTACATAAAGGGCCAGTAGCACCTTGAAAAAATAAAGAGCAAAATATTGTCCATTGGGCAAGAGAATCAGAAGGAATTTCAAGTTTGCCTCTGTTTAGGCTATTCAGATAACTTCCATATTTATAATAATAATTGGTAGTGTCATCATAAATTTTTATTTCGCTTTTTTTTCACATAGCCAGCTATGTAAACTATAGCCACTAATGTAGATTTATTAATTGAGTTTTCAAGATGTATATTATCCAGCAGTTCTTTTTCATCTGTAGAAATATCTCTAAAACATGTGTCATAGGGTGTCCCAAAAAACAACTTTTTTAAAAATAATCTGCTCTCACCCCCTAAATGTGTTCTATCTAATACAAAAACACTAAGTTTAATATATCGTTTTTTCTGAAATGAACAATATTTTTGAAATTTTTATATAATTTCGGTTCATTTGAGTACCAGGTTGACATAATTTTTAAAAACTTTTTTTTTGAAAATATTAGGGACCCATTAAATATTCGAGGGTCTAGAGGGACCCTTTATATTATTTTTTATTGAAAAAAAATTTAAACTTATTGTTTTTGTATTAGATAGAACACATTTAGGGGGTGAGAGCAGATTATTTTTAAAAAAGTTGTTTTTTGGGACTCCATAATGTGTCACAAGTATGACCATTGATACCATCAAAAGAAATGTCAAGTTATAATAATAATTTCTATGTTGAAAACTAACCTTATAAGACATACTTTGCTTCATTACTCAACAAAATGTTTCTACGAGCTCAATTAAGCCATAACATGTATGCATTATTGCATTGCTAGTATCTAGCGTAAGCTGTTTTATACGTTTACCTGTAGCTTTCATAAAATTTGACAGTTCAGCCATATCTCATAGAAGTTGTAACTGTTGATCACCAACTGAGTAGATTTTTCCATATAATTTGTTTCTAAACTAAATGCCAGCCCCAGGTGCTTTGACATTAACAACATTCCAAAAAAAAAAAATTCAATAAATACAGCAGTACCTTCAAATGCCTTATTTTCAATCTCTGAATGTGTTCTTGATGCAACTACTGTTCCCAAAAAACAGAAAAACAAAACTTTACAGATTGTCTTTCTATTAGTTTAGGATAAACTGATTAAGCTGTAAGTTTAGAGAGTTTAAAAAGACTATTGCACTCAGTTTTATATAAAGTTTCTAAATCACTCCACTTAGCCAAAGCCAGTTCTCCATTGTTCAAAAATTAAAGCTCGCCTTTTCTGTCAACCAATTGTTTTGTATAGATTTTAAGAGATGCACATAGTCATGCAATAAATATATACCTAATTTTGTTAACCATGATTTACTATCAACTGTTTTAAACATTTCAAAAAACCTTTGATTTACACAGTCACCATCAGTAATTATTGCCAGTTTTTTACTATTTTCAATATTATTTATTGTATCAACAATTTGTTGACATTGAGCAAACTGAAATTCAGAGGAAAGATTTGCAACAGGTTGAGCTCTAAATACAAATTCTGGACCTCCAAAAAGACACTTAATCATAAATGATAAAATGGTTTTAGCTAACCTTTCAGGGTAGTTTACTGCTTGACCAAACAAAGCACCTCATTGGTAAAGTAATGAAGCTTTGACATAAACCTCATCAATTAGTAGTATGTAAGTTCTTTTCAATGGATCTAAATTCATAAAAAATACTATTTACAAAATTTAGGTCCTCCATTAGCCTTATTTTTGAAGTCAATTGTGTTAAAGTTCGTATACTTGGCAACTTGTAGTCAATACGCAAACAGTATGACAATACGTCATATAAACTTTGTTGCATAGCAAAATACTCATATGCTCTACATATAATATCTGGAGTATATAAAAACTTCATCAACATTAACTTTTCTCATAGCATTAAGGTGCTCAAATAGAATATTTGACTGATGCGAACTTTCTTTAATTTTAAAAAATCTAACTGTTTAAAATAAAGCTGATTTTGTTTTTATTAACTTAAATTTGTTTACAGTTAAAGATGAAATATTACAAGTTGTGCCATTATGATAAGTTACAAATGAATAATCATCAAAAATTTCAAAAAGAAATAATGGAACACCATATATTTGTATATTTTTGATATATTTGTATATTTTTGATTTTTATGTAAACTTTTTTTATTAAGCTGGAACACAATAACATCGTTATTATCATTTAACAAAAATTAAATATCGTCAAATATAAGTTCATCCTCCATTAGAAAATCATTTAACTCATCTGGTAAAATGTTTCAAAAACTGCTTGAAGTTACAGTTTTTCTAACTTTACTTGCTGGTGTAAGTAAACAACTAGGCAGAATCTTTTTCAAAACAGATGGTGGGTTTAAAGGCTGTTGCTTCCCATATTTGCTTTCAAAAGGTGCATCATCTGGCCAATGCAGTCGACATGCTGGGTCATTCCATTTAAAACTGGGACAGTCATTTCAGTCACCTTTTGGATTTTCTTTAAATTTTACCAGGTGGTACATTATAATGAAACATGAAAAAATGCAAAATTTGAGCTCCCAAATCAAAATGGTTCAAAAGTTATGACGTTTTGAAATTCAGCCTAAAACGTTCCTTTTTTTGCCAAGTCCGCCATTATGGATTTTGTAGTTGTACTTTTTAATGAATAATTTAAAATCTAGTGGAAGAATGTGGCTAAAAATGAGTACCTGACTATTTTTGAGGGTGCTGAATTCAAAAATGTAAAGCAAATAGTGAAATTTAAATTTTATGATAGTTATTTTTTGATTTTAAAATGGTCAGTCCAACTTTTTGTTCTGTTACCATGGGTTGCGCTTTCATCAACTCCCGGAGTTGCCCAAGTCTCGTGGAATCAATTTTTTTTTCAAACAAAGTAGGTGATACTAGGCTATTGTTATAAAAAAGATGGTTTTGGTTTCTTCAAGAATTATTAAGATATGTCATTTTAAAATTTAGACAAAAAAAAATCATTTTTTAGCCTTTATTCTTTATTATAGACTTTATAGCGATACTTTTTGTGTGAATAATTAAAGTTCTAGTGGAGAAATATGACTGAAAATTGACCTGGCCAGTTTTAAAGGTATTGAATACAAAGATAAAGATAATTGAACCCTATTTCTAGTATTTGAGAATAATTTTTCAATCTTAAAATATCAACAGTTAAATTTTTTTATTTCTTAACCATGGTTTACCTTTCCTTATTTCTGGAGTTGCCTTTCTCTTATTGTGAAATAAGAGGTCTTAAAAAAGTTTAGGTTTCTAAAAGAAAATAAAAAAATTATAATGCTTTGCATAACTTGCATATTTATAATCAATATTTTCAAAAGTATACATGGAAATGTAATTTACTATACAACACATTGAAAATATAATTTCTTTATTTATTAATTATAATAATTTAACGTAACATTATTACTTTATGTCTAATAATAGGGTATTGTTGTGTTAAAAAATAAGAAACTAAAATGCAAACCTTTTTGAAAAATAGTAAAAAATCTGCTTTATTGAAAAAAGCTCAATAATAAAAAGGAAAAGGAATAAACCAAATATGACTAAAATTGAAGTTTATATAAATTAAATAATGAAAGTAAAATATTCATCAACTTTCATTGACAAGATAAAAGATGTTCAAAATGAGTTTCGTTTCCTTTTGTGATGTGGTACTGACGCCCAGAAGATGTTGATGGTGTTTTAACAAGAAAAATGACATTCATTCTTGGCACCCAGCAATTATCATCCCGCTTTGGCCAGTAGTACGATTGACTTGGATAATTTATATGCATTAACTTTACCATAAAATCGTCATTCTCTTTATCAACTTCAGAAACCATTCCAAGCCAGTAAAAATCGTCGTATTTGCAAAATAGGTATTGTGACATCATAACATTCTTAATTTTATTAATTTCGTATTTTTGTTTATTGAGGAAGTCAAATGTTAGAGCAAAATCATCATCATCGGATACCCTTTTCATTTTTATAATTGAATGAGAACAAGATATAAATTGATGGAGACTTCTTGTCCCAGGAACAGTGGTTGCTATTAATAGTCTATCAGCAAGTTTGATTCTTACTAGCTTCATTTTTTTAGCAGTGACGTACACAAACGTAATCCCACTGATTGACTTTTGGCAGTATTCAAAGATTGCTTGAGAAGATAGTATTTGACCTGTTGTTGGACTCTGCAAGCTAGCAGTTGAAACAAGCCTTTTAACAGTGCCATCTATTACATCACACAGAGATTTGTCATGGCTTGTTGCAAAGAAGTTCCAGATGCACTGAACAGAAAAATCTTGAGCATGGTGACATAAATTGTAAAAATGTTTGCAGTTTTTATACTGCCCTGCACAGCCATCAGAAAAATAATGAATTTTTGTAATTGCGGGGCAAAGATGAGTTTTTATATGATTAATGGTTTTATGCATAACTTCATTGATAAATCCAACATCATGACTCAAATCATCTGAAATTACACAAAAAGAAGATATTTCCAATTTCACTTTCTTGTAGTAGATGACAACTGGATGAAGAGAACATTGACTCTTGCTCCAATGGTAACTCTGTATCTCGTCTTGTACTTCAAAAGTGTAATTCTCTGCAAAATCTGCCAGTACAATAACCTCATCAATACTAATTGTTTCTTTGAGATGCTTTAGATAGCTAGATTGTGATTTTGCTATAAATGAATGAGAAGTAATTTTATCAAGTTTCTCACACAGGAGCTCTATGAATTCATTTAATAAAAGTTGTATTGTTAATAGTTCAGTTCTATCTGTCGTTGTCCACTGTTTGAAATTCACTGACTGTTCATTTTCGGCACTGACATATTGCTCTTTTGGATCATGATTTTGTGTGAGATACTGCAGGAAATAAATTTGGGCAGCTTGTATGCCAGGACAACTATTGCATCAATGAATCATGCAAACTTTTGATTTTCTGCTGCAGACAATCTTTTCAATGATTTCATGGTAAGATGTTTCAAGGCCTACACCACTCAACATTAATTTAACATTTTGGTGTATTGTACACACACAAACAGAATGTGTACCTTTTGGACCAGCAAGGATGCACCATTTAGGTCTAAGACTGCAAAATTTAGAAAATCCAATTTTATGGTTTGGGTACTTAATCTTATATGCCACATAGAGCACCTTTAGATTACACATAATCAATTTTTTTGACATGTATTTTTTTTTCCCAACACTTACACAGTCTTTTTTACCTGGCATTTACCTTAAATACTCATCGCCACAGTAAAAAAGCTTTACAAGTTCTATGACATCTTTACTGATTCGATGCTATTCAATCACATTAGGGTATGCAATAATGCCTTTTTGGTCACGTAAAAGCTTTGCATTTTGAATTTTTTGTTTGGAAACTGAAAACTCTTTTGCTGCTTTTCTGATAGACCAAGATTTTGGTGTCAATGTCAAATTTTGAATTTGCTGCCTTCTGTTAGAAACTTTAAGTTTTTCTTTCATGCATTCAACAAAGAAGTCTAGATCATCAGCTTTGGTTTCAATTTCCTTTAGAACTTCATAGTTGTTAGGTGCAACAAGTTCAGATTCGGTGACATCCAGAGCAGTTGCAAGTTTCTTAATAACTGCTTCTTCAACTTGCTTTATCTTTCTATTTCCAAGTGAAGGCTTGTTAGAGGTTTTTGGTAAATGAACTTTTAGTGGAGACACTTTAAGTTCACACAAAGTACTGTTGAGCAATGATCTTGTTGATTCCAGTATAATTTCTTTTTCCATATTATCTTCAGTTAATTTTTTTAACTTTTTAACTTCAACTCGTTCTTTTCTGATTCTTTTGTAACTCACAAAATTTTCACAAAATAAAAGTTGTGATTACTATAAATACCTTTTATAACTTTGTTATGAGTATTAAATGGATTGCAGCACCGTGTTAATTTAGTTGCATAACACTTCAAATAAACATGTTTATGATGTAGACAAGTTGTTGGTTTTACATTGATTATTGAGAGCCCAGTCCTCCACAGTAATATTTCTCTTTCATACTCAGGAATACCTTCAAAAGGTTCGATTCCAAGTAACGATTTATATGTTGCAAGATGACATTCACTTTCTAGCTTGATTCCAATGGAGCACTGTTGACTGTTTGCCATGACTAAGAAAATGAATTACTAAATTCTCTATTTATTTAATCTAAAATTAAAATAATTTTAAGTTTATGGTTACTGGTGTTTCAAAACTATATTTATACAACATATCTGACATCACAAATCTATATTTATTCATCACAGCAGGCATTGCAAAACATTATTTATATATAAAAACCTACCTCAATAAACACTTTTTACACATCACAACTGAACCCATGAGAGTCTTGTGATCAGGAAACTTGTGAAAACCTTACCTCTTTTTATTGTAATGTGCTTTTTTACCATTTAAAAAAAAAAAAAAAAAACAGTTATCTAACATTTTAAATTAGGTTTTTTTTTTTCTACTTTGGATTCAGCATCTTCAAAAATGATCAGGTACCAATTTTCAGTCAGTTTATTTGACTAAAACTTAAATTATTTACGCCTAAACTATAGCTAAAAAATCTATGAAAGAGAATTTGAGTCCAAATAAGGAATTTTTTTTGTATAAATTTCAAAAATATATCTTTATAATGCTTTAAGAAACCAAAACCATCTTTTTTATAAAGATAGCCTAGGATCACCTAATTCATTTGAAAAAAAATTGAATCCATGAGACTTGGGCAACTCTGGAAGTTGATGAAAGCGCAACCCATGGTAACAGAACAAAAAATTGGACTGACCATTTTAAAATCAAAAAATAACCATCATAAAATTTCACTATTTGCTTTACATTTTTGAATTCAGCACCCTCAAAAATGGCCAGGTACCCATTTTTAGCCTCATTCTTCAACTAGAACTTAAATTATACATTAAAAAGTGCAACTACAAAATCCATAATGGCGGACTTGGCAAAAAAAGGAATTTCAAAACGCCATAACTTTTAAACCGCTTGATTTTGGGAGCTCAAATTTTACAATTTTTCATATTACATTGATATGTAGCACTGGGTAAAATTTGAAAGAAATCTGAGAGGGTGACTAAAAAATTTAGGTTTTTTGTCCCAGTTTTACATGGAATTACCCTACTGCTGTATAGTCTGAAACAGTAAAACCAGTTCTTGGGATAGCATCACTCCATCTTTTTCTCTCCTCTGGATTCTTCGGGAAATTATAAATTGATATTTTTGTTGTAGTTAAGTGATAGTTCGACTTGCAAAGAGTTACACAGCATTTTAAAGGCATTTTATTTATTAAAATATCTTATCGTTAGTTGGTTACCTTAATGTTAACGCCTTAAACCTTATAACGCCTTGAAGTTGCGCTATCTAATTTATAAACCAATCAAATTTAAAAGATTTATTAAAAAAACGCAAACTTTCGTTTAATGTTAAAAGATGAAAATGTAAACACAGTATTAGAAATTGGCCTTCAGTTTTGTTGCAGGATATCAAGGCCTGCTATTATAGAAGGCCATGATATATATATATATATATATATATATATATATATATATATATATATATTAGGGTGTCCCAAAAAACAACTTTTTCGAAAATAATCTGCTCTCACCCCCTAAATGTGTTCTATCTAATGCAAAAACACTAGGTTTAAATTTTTTTTGAATAAAAAATATTTTAAGGGGTCCCTCAAAACCCTCGAATATTTAATGGGTCCCTAATATTTTCGAAAAAAAAGTTTTTTAAAAATATGTGAACCTGGTACTCAAATGAAGCGAAATTATATAAAAATTTTAAAAATAATATTTATTTCAAAATATTTTTAACTTATATGTATATATACATATATATATATATATATATATATATATATATATATATATATATATATATATATATATATATATATATATATATATTTATAATATATATATATATATAATATATATATATAAAATGTATATACATATATATAATATATATAAAGTATATATATATATATATATATATATATATATATATATATATATATATATATATATAAAATATATACTTTTTTTTCAGGTTTTGAATGAGTTTTTTCATAATGTTTGTGAACTAGACTTGGTATTTAATTTTTACAAGGTAAGAATTGTTTTATTTTTTACCACTTATTATAAGTAGGCTCTGTTGTCAAACTCCTATCTGTCAATGTCCTTCAGTTTTACAAATTATCTTTTTAATTCGAAGACAACCTGCCCAAACCCTCAGTTAATATATATACACTCACTTTGCCTATGTATCTCTACTATATACACTCCACAGTGCCTATCCCTATATATCACAGTTTACCTAACCCCTATAAATTGGGGTTAGCGAATGTTAAAGGTGCTAAATGTAGGAATAAGGGTTCAACAAGAGTGCCTATCTTTATTCTAAGGGTAGACACTCTTATTATGAGGCTAAAGTAAAGTACTAGATTATACAAAAAAAATTACAAACTGTATAAAAAACACTTTGAATTTGAAAATAAGTTTATCAAAACTACCCTCAAATGGAGCTTTTCAATTAGTTGTTTCAAATTCTAGGCATGATAAAAAATACATTTATATACATTGATAAATTGTGATTCTAATCTAATTATGCTTAGGGCTTTGTATTTAAATTGATATAGCCCAAATCTGTTCAATACAGAGCAACAAAGTGGGCTCTATGTCTTTCCAAATTTCCAATTCTATAAAAAACTAAGAAAAAAAATTTATATGTTTACTGTGTTTTAGTATTGTTAATGATATATATCTTCCTGAATTTTGATAACTGTTATTATTATTTATTTATTATTCATTAAAAAATCATGTGTACAATCAAAGTAACTTTTAATCCTCTTTTAAAGTTCAACTTGTTTCTCCGCACAGCAACTTTGTTTATCAAGGTTTGTGTTTTGGAGTTATAGAGTTGAGAGGGTTGTAACAACAATAATAGTAGCCTTCTCGGCTGTAGTAACCTTCTCAGTCTTGAGGAGATGAATTAACATTGAAAAAGAAAAAAAAAGTTAGATTAAATTCTTGGTCAGAAAAAAGGTTTAGAATAAATATTTTCAAACTAGTTTTTTACAACCAAGTACTTTCTCTAGTCACTGTATGTATAAGTTACAGCTAATATATGTGTTGCTTGGACTATTAGATAGTGAGCTGATTACTATATGTGCTTTGAGTCAAGTTCTTTAACCAATTTTAAAAATGACTTAGGTATCAAAACTGTAGGTTGTCTGTTAATTACTTTAATCTCACTTTAAAAACTTCATCTTTTTTCTTCCAGTTCCAACTCTAATAATGGTTGCTTGCAGTCTTATTGGAAGTGAAGATGTTTAAAATGTGTATATATATATATATATATATATATATATATATATATATATATATATATATATATATATATATGTATATATATATATATATATATATATATGTGTATATATTATTTCTAAAACTAACACAATGTTTTTTATTCTTGACATGTTTCGTAAAATTTATTTACATTTTCAAAAGATTATTTTACAATAATAAAACTCTGAAATAAATATTAAAAAATAGAAGTCTTTACAGAGAAGTAATAACGGACAAAAATTTACATAATGAACCAATATATTTATTACAAAATAACTCGGAAAATAACCAATCAAAATAACTATCCAAAAATAATAATAATGATAAACTGACAGTAAAATTAAATAGATAAGTTTATACCATATTGTGAAGTTTGTTTATTAAGTTAGGGACTTTCTTATTTAATGTGGAGGGCTTCTTTTATCTTTAATTTGTGTTTGGTTGGGGCATTATCCAAAATCTCAAAAGAATCACAGTTAGACAGATTTTTGCAATTAATAGATAAATTTAAATGTTTAAATTTATGAGATTAGATTTATAGCATTACAGCCAGCACAAGAAAATTTATAGAAAACATGAGATTTAAGCATATTAGGAAGTGACTCTTTTAAGCAAAAACAATCTTGTATTTTATTAGTAGTGAAAATTAATTTTATTAGAACATCCTTGCAATATTTATGAACAATTTTTGAAATTTTTATTTTAATATAATTAGAGTACATTCCAATGTATGGAAGCTTAAATTATCTTATATTTAAGCTATTAACAATGTTAGAAACAGATAGATTCATTTTCTTATCAATATAGGATTTAATTTCAGAGTCAATATTTTTTTGTGGAAATTTATTATTTTGTAAAACTAATGATAGATTCTTAATATCTTTATCAAAACCAACCCAAGTATTATTAATTTTAAATGTATGATCAATCAAACATGAAAAAAAAGGCTATAAAAAGATATCTTTACACGGGTATCTTAGAAAACTTCATAAGCTTAAATGTTTTGAAAAAGACATTTACACCAAAATCCTTTAGGATCTCAACCTGGAAGAATTTACTTGCTCTTATGTTGATTACAATCTGGTCTGACGAATATTACTTTTGATTATTTGTCTGTCTATTGGGACAAAGCTAATTTTAGAATGTATATATATTTATATATGTGTGTGTGATTGTGTGTATATATATATATATATATATATATATATATATATATATATATATATATATATATATATATATATATATATATATATATATATATATATATATATAATTTCAATTCACCTCCCCAAGGCCATGAAAACCACTTCAGTCGAGAAGGCTACTTTAGTTGTAGTTACAACTCTCTCTTAACTCTATAACTCCAAAATACAAACCTTGACAAAAAAAGGCCTCTGTGCAGAAAAACAAGTTGAGCATGGTACTACCAGGGGCAGTGTAATTAAGAGGTAAATTGTAAAATATGTATATATATATATATATATATATATATATATATATATATATATATATATATATATATATATATATATATATGTATATTAGGGCTGTACCGGATTTATTTTTTTCAAATCCGGCCGGAGCCGGATTTGCCGGATTTTTACTGACAGATCCGGCCGGAATCGGAGCCGGAGCCGGATTTCAAAACAAAACTACAGGAGCCAAAATCCTGTACATCCCTACTTGGTGTTGAGCATGGTCAACAATGTGGACTATTCAGAATACCAAGTGACTGCTGTTTTCTGTTAAACTTCATTGTTGTTATTTAAAAAGTTTTATAGCAATTTCTAAATATAAATTAATAGAAATTCTAAAGAAATTCTATAGGCCATATGTTTTAAAAGTTTATAGTAATTCTGTTGAACTTTTTTTCCGGGATTTTGTCACTCCGCCACTGTAGTGGATCATTGTGTCTATTTATTTCATTGTGTCTATTTATTTCTGGCCGGAGCAGGAGCCGGAGCCGAAATCCGGTACAGCCCTAATGTATATATGTGTATATGTATATATGTATATATGTATATATGTGTATATATATATATATATATATATATATATATATATATATATATATATATATATATATATATACATCAAATATTAAGCTAAAACAATTTAAAATGTTAAACATATTAAATCAATTACTTTTTTTAAGTTTTAAATGTAGCTGATAATGTGAAGAAGTTTGTGCGTAAATAGTTAATGAAAAATTAGATTGAAGAGAAATATTTTTATAACACTTGTTAAAAGAATCAAATTTTCTGATATTTTTTTCAAATTGTGAATGAATCCTGTGCATAGTCAAAATCCTGTTTGTAGTGAAACAGCCTAAGTTAAATTACTTGAATACTTTAAAAAAATAATTTTTTGTAGATAAAACAACATGCAATAAAAAATGTTTTTGTGACACCTATATAATGTTACACACATATATAATGTTCAATGATGACACACATACAATCTTCCACCTGTGACACACATATACAATGTTCAATGTTTGACACATGTACCTTGTTCAATGTATGACATACATATACCATGTTCAATGTGTGACACACATGCAATGTTCAATGGTAACACATATACAATGTTCAATGGTGACACGCATACAATGTTCAGTGTGTGAGTTAGTAAATTATATTTTTTTAAACAGCAACAATTTTTTTGGCATGTTTAGTGTAAAATGGGACTCAATTTCATTTTGATCAATAGTAGTGATTATATCACAATTACATTTCAATGGTTTTTTTAAAACTGGTTTTGAATATTTTTTACCTTGCAATGAGCTGAATTTTTATGGAATACAGAAATATATTAAAACAAAGGAAATTTTTTTCAAAATGACAGAAACAAAATAAAACAAAACAAATTTTTTTACTTGCTGTAGAATATATCGCAGTTTTGTTTCTATATTCTGTATTCATTGTTTCTATATTCTGTCGAATATATCAATTGAAGGTTTTCAGCATTATTTAGAAAGTTTTTATTTTATTACAATTTAGTTCTAATAATTTTAAATTTTAAAGTAAGTGATATATTATATCACTTGCTTTAAAATATGTTATCTCCAGATTATATCACACGCTTCTTTAAAATGTCATCTTTAAAGTTTATCACTTGTTTTTAATCATTCTATTTTAAAAATATATTTTAAAAGCATTTTCTTAAAATCCAAGTTGTTAAATATAAGAAAATAGATTTAAAAAAACAAGTGGATAAAGTGATTATTTTATTAGTATTATTTTATTGCTAAATTTTAAAAATTTTGTATATACAAGAAAATTAGTCTTTAAATAAGTACTAGATTAGCAGAAATTTGAAAAATTGTTATGGTGAATAAAATCAAAGTGTTCTTTAAGCAAAGATAGAGAACAATCTTTTTTGATCGAAGTAGAAGAAATTTCTTCTATCAGGATAGAAAAATCTCCTTCGATCAGGATAGATAATTTTTCTTTGATTAGAATATAAAAGTTAATTCAATAATAAAATTAACGAATATAAAGGATTAGAATATAAAAGTTAATTCAATAATAAAAGTGAACTCAAGACTCAATTATGATTCTGCTGATGTATTAATGTTCTGCGAAACTTGGTTTGAACCTTATTTTCCACTCATAATACAAAATTACCAGGCCCCTATTCATGTTTCATGTAACAATATGAAAAGAGGTATTGAAATCTATTTCAAAACTAACCTTACAGTCTATCAAGTTACAAATTCCCAGCTACCTACTTAAGTTAGCAAGCAAGTCTGGT